TTAGCTCTTCCTCAATTCACTGTAGCCAGCTGCAAATGCAGATTTTCATACTTGCCCTGTGAAGCTCATTATTGCCAGAGAGTCTGGAATAAACTTGGGAACAAGAAGAAATTATGGCTTTGGAATGGAAAAACAGGATGTTGCAGCCTCTTTTCAGAACATACAGGTTATTCTGCTACAGAGAATTTAATATATTTACCGACTATACTCATTTTTGTTGTGCAAAATTTGTGAATATTAATATTTTTAAAGAGCACTTTGAGCTCTTTTGTGGATAGTTATGTATTTACAGTGTATATGTGAAGACAAAAAGATTTCTAAAGCCAAAACCTGCTACTCTCTCCAGCAAATCTCCTCAAGAAATCAATGGACTATTGAATTCCTCACTAAGAATTTTTTTTAACTTTCTCCTGATGCATGGAGTGCTGTTTGCCCAACGTCTGGCCACATCTCACCTAATCGCATTCCTGCCATCAGCAGTTTTGAGTGCATCTTTAATATCTTTGTGTTCCTGCTTGTGGCACTAAGCAGTTTCACAGACTCATCAGAACACTGGTTGGAAGGGTCCAGCCACCTCCACAAAGCCAGGCTGCAACAAACACCAGATCAGTTCAGATATGGCTTTGACTTGCAAAGTCTAAAAAACCTTCAAGGATGGTGACTCTGCAGCCTCTGCTCCCTGAGCAACCTGTTCCCGAGTTGCACTGCCATTCCCCTCATATCCAGCCTGAACCTCCCATGTTCTGGTACGTGGCTCTTGCCCGATGTCTGGGCTGTCTGGCACTACTGAGTCTGGCTCTGACACCTTTGTAACTACCCTTCAAATAGGTATAATTTGCTCTCATGCTCCCCCTTAGCTGCCCTCTGCCAGCTTAAACAAACCCTGCTATCCCAACATTTTCTATTCTGAAAAAATCCAAATGTTTTAGTCCAGCTGAAGTCATGTGGCTCCTTGGATATGCAGGATCTGGGTGATCTGGTTGAGATGCAAGAGATGACATTACCCATCTTGGCCTTAAACTGTAAAAAACTGTGAACTAAAAAACTTTTTTTTTTTGGATGTATATTTCTAAGGATAAACCATAGCAAGAGTCAGTTAATACTGAAATTACTCCTGCAAAAAGCATCCTAACCATTTTAAAGTGTGGATTTGGACCTGTGTGTAGGTGTGTGTAGCATCATGTGCTTTGAATGCAGCTGGTTTATCATCACCATGATTACTTTGACTTCTAGTGTACTGGTGAACAGCAGACAGACACAACAAAATAGCAAAATACACTTTTCTTTCCTCTACAGACTTGTTGCCTCAGCTGCAATGATGATGAGTACAGAGTGAAAACTAAAATCAGAGCTCCAACAAAATATCCAGCAACTTCAGAAGATAGTAATAGTACTTGAGTAAGAAGCAAACACAGACATCAGACATAAGGCTCTTGTACCAAGAGGAAGGTAATATGAGTTAGAGAGCAGCAGTTACTTCAAAATAAGCATACTACCATCTTTTTTTTTTTTTTTTTTTTTTTTTTTTTTTCAGTTTGTAGGCAGGAGCAGGATTTCCTGTTTGTGGAAAACAGGAAAATGTTAACAAAACATTTAACACAATTTTGCCCTCTAAAAAACAAGACCAAAATGCAGGGGATAAAAAATGTACTTAGTATTTTAGTAAAATCATCTCCTGAACCTTCAGTACCAACCTTATTTCACCCTAGAAATCCCTTTCACCAACCTAGGCTTCAGGCATAACAAAGTAAGCAGTAATAGGGACAGCAGCACAGCCCTGATCTGCTTTGCCTAAGCCCAAATCCTAGAGGCTGACCACCGCAGCCCAAGTGTGTGGGGCAGTGGCAGGCAGCAGAGCTTCCCCCCACTGATGGACTTCCCCTCATCAGTGCCCCAGTGCTCCCCATGTTTGGGGGACCTGAAGTACCAAGCTCTGGGCCAGCACCTCCAGTTCACACAGCTAGACCAGCTCATTTGTTCTTTGCCTCAGATGAGGGTGTTGAGCAATGGCTGGTAGGTTTTGCTTCCCAAAGAGCATTATAGTGTTCAGAAAATGGGACCTGTTGACATGGTGAATGTGGGAGGTTGTGACTGGAGCTCAGGGACCACTGAGCCCTTTTTAATGGCACTGTCACCACCACCAGCTCCGGTTCCTGTCTAAAACCTCTGCTCTGGAAACACCTTTCTAGTTACATTGTTTAGGGAGGCATCCACTGTGCAGGAAATGTGTCCTCAGTCCTCGGATCTGCCCCATCTGGAAAATTCTCCTGTAAATGACGGCAGGTATTACTGCATCACATGTTGTCTCTACGAGATGGTAGCTAGCCAAAAGGCACTAGAATAGGAAAGTAAAGTATAACATCTATCATAGTTCTAGCTGCAGTCGACCTGGTTTCCTCAGAGAAAGGGTAAACAGGGGTCTGGGCACTGCAGGAGAAACACTCCCTGGTGAGATGCAGGGTGGTCCATAGGCACCAATGTAACTATCAGAGCTTACATTATGATCCCACAAATTAACAGAGAAAGAAGAGATTTATTTAGCAGCTTTTGGAGGGGGGGTGGTTGGTCAAAAGTAGTAAACTTGGCCCTTCTTTGAATGTAAGAGAAGTTACTCTGGCTGCAGAATGTCTGTGGCAGAGATGCGGCTCACAGAAAGCTAGTGTCAGCTATGGACAGGCATGAGTGTGATGAATATATCACAAGGTTGTGTTTTCTTTTGTTCACTGTTTCCAACATTATAATCAAGAATTTAATCCTAGTCTTTGCCAGAAAACAAGAAAATATATTTTCTTTAAACGCTTGCATGATCTCAAATAATCCTAGCAAATACAAAGTTTTCTTTAGAAATAGGAAAATCAAATACATCCATGATGAAGACAAGATAGAAAGTGCTCTGCAGTCCTAGGGTTACAGTGTGTCTCCCTTCAGTCTGAAGGTTGGATAACCAACATTTGCTCTGCTTGAGAGAAGTCTTCCCTGGTGAAAATTAAGCAGTGCTTTCTAGTTGGGAAGAGGCAGAAGGAACTGGAAGTGTCAAGAAACCTCATGTTAATACAGCTGGCTCATCCTCTGCAGACAAAATTGCCTCCAAGCATGTGGATGGCACCTGCCAGCCCCACCTGCCCGTATACCTTATGCTGCCTGGCACCTTTGGGGCATCAGGTGCTGGGCAGGAGCACTGCTGAGCACCATCGGTCCCAATGACTCCATCCCTTCACACTCTGAGGAAAGACCCACCCAAGTACCCTGATACAGCTATAGAGAGAATTGTGCCATGCTGCTTAGGCTCAATGGGTATCAGACATAGACATCGACATCTGTGGTATTTGAAAAGGAAGTGAACTCTAATCTTGATTATAATTTTTTTAATCAGGTTCAAGATATGTATCAGAAGAGATTTTCACAGCTGTTGCTGATTTGTTAGTACATCTGTCCCCAAATCCCCCTGCTGTTTGCTTTATGGTTTACAATCTTATTTTCATTTGTTTAAAGAAATGTTTTCCTCTCCCCTGGCATTACATGAGACATCCACATGAACGACAGCACAGTGAGGAAACTGCCTACACCCACAGTCCTGTCAAGTGTGCAAAGCAAACAGGCACAAACGGAGCAGGACTGCCTTCTCCAGCCTCTCCTGTAGCTCTGCTCCTCTCACCCAAGCAATGGCATAGAACAGCTGGGTGCCAAACTGCACCTGAGAACTGTTTTAATTCATTAAGGACACTTATTCTTTGTCATACACTTTAGAGGGAGAGACTGTTTCCCTCATTAGACCAGCTGATGCAATGAAAAATATTGGCAGCTTTCAGACTTAAAGTCCTTTCGACCAATCTGAGACTAAAAATGTGTTCATTTTCCTAACTATGAGATAGCTTTAAAGCAAGATAGGACCTCTAGCTCTGAACCTTGCACCTCTTAATCTTTGGACTGTACTACTTTTGGCATCATATGGCATAACAGGCCTTACGATCACTTGCATATTCATGGGAATGCAGAACTGAGAGAGACAGAGCTTATTTTTGTTAAACTATTTGTCTGAGTCTATATTGGAACTTGGATTTTTTTGGAGGGGAGGAATCATGAAACGGCACAGCACAGCCGGTGCCGGCAGCAAGCAGGCAGAAGCCCCAGTCATGGTGGAATGGGGTTGGGTTCCCACAGGTTTTCACCCAGACTGAGCCAAGGCAGTCTGAAGTTCTCCACAGGGAACTCTAAGCATTAAAAATTACATCCCCTCACTTGCTTTCCTGCCTTCACAGTCAGGCCAGTCTGAGGGCTTTAATCACAAAGCCTACATGGGAGGGAGGGCTGGAGGGTTGTTTAGGTTTTTTAATTATGGTCATTGCGTAATTGGATAAAAGGTTGTAAATTCTACACAGGCAGATGACAGGTAATGAAATAGTTCTCCACAGGTCTATATTGCCATTAAATGAATAACATTTGTCACTTGCCATATAACTCCACAACTGCAATTACAGTAAATATTTCAACTGGGAAACTAAGGCACAGGTCAACCAGCCTATTTGAAAGCACACATTTCCAATCAAGTCCTGCCATGCACACCTCACTGCAATTGCAAGGTGTAGCTCTGTAGTTGCAGAGATAAGAGCAGTGTGGGACCCCTTAGTTATTTCTCTCAGATCCTATTTTCCAGGCTTATTACTATTGTGTTACTGCAAGATTAATGCACGAGCATCATTCAGAAATCAAGACTATCAAATCAAAGCATGATCAAGACTGGGTAAAACATTCTGCAGATATGCATTTTGTAATAGCGCTAGGCTCAGAGAGCAAATAGCTCTTGTAACTGAGATGTTTGCCCTCAGTGTGCTCCAATAAACTGATTTACTTTTCTTTTTTTTACCCTTTTTTTAAAAAGAGCTGACGCAAGTTTGTCAAAGGGAGTTGTTGGGGTGTAGCAGCTGTTGATTGGTTCATCTGATACACTCCCATTTGTCTTTAAATCACTGTCCAACTGCTCTAGGTTGCACATGAGCAAACTTTTCATTACAGGTGCAATTCCTAAAAGATACAACCTGCTTGGCAAACGAGGAAGAGAACCTGCTTGACTCAGAGGTAAACCTGAAGCTCGTTTTCTTTTCAATATTTGATCAATATATTTTAGATACTGGACACATTTTTAAAAATTGAGAATTAGACATGTATTAATCTGTAAATATACATGTAATATGAAGGATGGGCTCTTTAAGATTTACTGACATAGCAATTTACCTTGGCAAATATCTTTGGTATTTCTTCGGGAATTAAATTTAGTCTTTTTTTTTTTTTTTTGTAGAGCAAATCAAAACCAAAGCAATAGAGAAGCAGCAAAAGGTGTTTAAAACTGACCAGGCAAATAAGAAATGAATGCTTGCTTTCCTTTGAAGCTCTTAGCTAATTTATGAGAATTGATTTTTAAGACTCTTGATTTACTTAGATAACATTTCTGTAAATAAATGAATTTGTGAAAGGAGGCTTTGCATTTTAATTGTTTATTTCGGTGACAATACTTACTTCATTTTGAAATAGCTGTGCAGACAATAATATTATAAAGTCAGTGTCATGAAGATGAAGAATCTGGCAAAATCTGCTAAATCAGATACCATGGTGGAGCTTACAAATCTTCATACTGCAAAACCGATGCAAACGTTGATCATATCTGTGACCTGGCATTATCTGCCAGATCGTTGTCCATTCACTCAATGACCTAACTGCAGACTGAACAGAAATCAATAATGTTGTGAAATCAGATGCCAAAAATTTCATCATTTTCTAATCACTGCTGAAAACCATTACTTAATAAATGATGTATAACAGTACCCTATACTTGAAGAGAAAAATAGTTCTATAGGGATAAATAACTTCCCTCTAATAATAGGTGGATCTCTTTTGCAACCAGTATTTCCATTTTAATGCCATAGTTTAAGAAAAATCTCTTCTGTTCATCCAAATGCCACAGGAGGCAGCAAAACCATTGCTGCATTGAAGCCAAGTTTAAGGAACACTGTAGAGCTAAGAGATTTTTCATGTATGTAAACGAAAGGGGAAAACATCAATTTTAACTAAAGGGAAGGAGAAAGAAACAGAGAGCTTTTTGGTTACTTCTAAACTTACAAAATTCCTCTGCAGGGAAAGGAAGCTGGGCAAGTCGTGATGGGTTTGGAGGCCTAAAACTGGGTTTAAGAACCAAATTCAAAACTCTGAAGCAGAAAGCATTAAATCCCAGGGAAGCTAAAGCAGATGAACTTTGGTGTTTCTCCTCCAATATCATGGGCTAATAATCTTCTGGCAGGGCCCAGGCCTGCCTGACCTTGGTGGTTGTGCTCTGTCACACCATCACTGCCCCGGTGCCTGGCCATCACCCAGGAGCAGCCGTCCAGCTAGCACGAACCCCTCCAGGGGTGCAACGGAGCACCCATCTACCAGCCCTGGAAGTGGGCTTGTGCATGGTACAGTGTGCAGCTGTAGCCAGTGTTTTATTCTAAACAGAGCCAGCTAGTGCATCCCCCTTTTTCTAAATAACATCTCGCAGGTCAAGCAGCAACCCAAGAGGTGCAGGACTACCCCATTCCCTCTTCAGATAAAGGGGTGGCAGCCCTTTCCCTCTTGTTACTCATGGGGAGCACGTGCTACCAGTACCTCAATATCTTCCCAGACCCTTCAGTACCTGCAACATTGGGAAGACATGGATTTCCACCAATTAAGGACCAGCTCTGCCGAGTTCTGTTGAAGTTCATAGGCATCATTTGTTGTAATTACTATTATTAGTTTTTGCAGGATTCAAACCTAATACCAAGCCTGTTTCATGGGTCTCATCCTGCCCACATTTATGCCAATGGCTTTCAGCTTATGGCTTGCAGACCCCTTGAGCTCTACTAACTGCTCCCTCTAAAGTGACAACTGCAAGAAGCCAGGTTCTCAACAGATTTAATTGTGCCACCTGAGGCTTTGCACCTCCATCAGAAGACTTTTAGGAATTCACAGATTTAAAAAAAAAAAAAAAAAAAAAAAAAAAACAGAAAAAAAAATAAAATCACTGCTTTATGTAGTAATTCCACAGCCTCTTGAGATAATGCCCATAAATCAGATTACTTGTGTAAATGTTTGACAGCACAATGTCCAGATGATTCTTATTCTGTAACATGTATTTCCAGTCAATTTTTGCTCCCCTTTTCAAATTGTGTTTGCTGTGCTGCACAGACTTTCATCCTCAGCCTAATCTCTGTGTAATTTAACTCATGGCAACTTTTCTGCTTACTTTTCCTCTGTTTCCCAACTCTTTGATGATCTGTATTTTTTGGACTGCCACTTCTGGAAAAGATGCTTCTCCAACAAGTCTTAAGCAGTGCACACAGAGGGGATTTTACCCTTTACCAGAACAGGACTAAACACAGTCATATTTGTCTGCCTGACTTTTATATCACAGATTTAAAATAAGCATCAGGAATTGGAAGGATTTTATTTTTCAGACAAGGCAATGTCTGCATTTGAAGACAGATCTGTGAATGAAACCACAGTCGGGAGGGCTCCATTGGGGTTTTTTTATTATTATCTTTTTGTCTCCTGGAGTTATTCATATCCCAAGTGGGCAGAACCCCCCGGCCGCTGGAATGCAAGTACCGGCAGCTCTGCCCTGGTGCCCGAGTCACTTGTCCCCTCACACACACTCCCTGTGCGGCAGCTGAAAGGAGCAAACACAACCACTCTCTCTCGTAGGAAATGCACTGTGATATTGTTTTTCCTTTTCAGTTGGCTGGTCTGGGTGAATGTTTTTAGTAAGAAGCAAGGAAGCTGACTTCAATTTCTGTCACAGGGTCAGTTTTAACCTCCAGGATTGGTATATAAAATTTACGTTTACATTTTAAGCACACGCACTCTAATATTTTGCTACTACAAATACATTTGTAGAATTTCTTAAGAACAACATGTGATCATTAGCAGAGGATAGTGAAGGTCTGGTCATTAATCAAGGACCTATACATTCATAAATGTGAAATCAGGAAAAAATCTATCAAATAATTGCGTGTTTAGTGTCACAAAGAACCAGACAGGGAAATTATTTGTTGCAGTATCTGATACTGTTACTAGACAGTGCTGGGCTGTGTTTAGCATGTGATATTTATGAAAAATGTAATGGATCCAGCCAGTGTGCCTGATTGCAAGGTAGCAGGTAGAGTGCCAGGAATCTGCAATTCTGGTCCCAGGTGTGCCAGCAACATGATATCTGGTCCGTACTTGCTCCCTTCACCCGTGTGCTCCTTTGCCTCCTCAGCTATGAAATGAAAATATAAAATGCATCAAGGAATATCTTTGGGAAGGTGTTTTCCTCTTTAATCTGGGAATGAGCAAATGAATGTAAATGTGTATCTGCAGATGAGACTGTAACATAAAGCTGCTGATAACCCTGGAGGTGAAGGTCTCTCTGAACTCTGGTTTGTACAGTTTTCTTTGATCCATACAGAAAAGAGTTGAGCATTTATTCATATAATTTATAAAATACAGTAATTTTTCAGAGATGCTCACCTCTGTCAAATCCCAGTGAAAGGGCCAAATCTTCAAAACATTTAGATCTGTGACATTAGTCTTACAACAAATGATTCAAAGCACTGAGTGTTTCCCTTATGTTTTGAAGCAGTGGTAGGAAAACCCTGATATACTCATTTCATTTCTAACAGCAAGAACGCCCACATCACCACCTCCCAGAAATTCAAAAACAGCAGTTCAAGAAATTCTTTTCTGCTGGCTTTGTAATTTTGCCAGTTGCTGGACATCCATTGTGCGTCTGTTGGCCCCTGAACTTTTCACCATTTGAAGGAAGACAGAAGGGCCAAGTGCTGGCATAGAAAGGGGCATTATGCTTGCCCAGAATTTTCCCAGTCTGCAACAGTTTCCCTTCTTAATGCTATTACAAAGAACAAACACAAACCCAACGATTCACACTGCTTTATCCAATTTGGGGAAAACGCTAATGAGTTCTGTTGTGTTTTGTTTGCAGAACAGAGTGTTCTGGCAGTCCCGCATGGTAGAGAGGACCCGCAAGCAAACGGCGGGTGCTGTTTACCCTGAAGAAGCGAGTGTGTGTGCTGGAAAGCGCTGACCGCTCTAATGGATCGCATGGAGCTGCAAAAAGTCAACATCGAACTTGATGATCAGAGCAACAGTGGGGAAAGCCTTGAAGACAACTACACAGAGCTGGTTGATTCAGAAAAGGCTGCAATTAGGAGGTAAGCATTTAAATGGGAAGGCTGTTCTGTTAAAGCTAGAAAGCAGTAATCACAAACCAAGCTCCACTAATGGCATCTGGGACTCAAAACATTTCCTAGGTAATGCATTGAATTTAGTGCACTGTTTAGCTAGCATTTCCCTGCAGCACCAACCCCACCTTCTCTGCGGCCTGGGGGACAGTGTGCCCAGCACAGCAGGGACAGCCTGGGTCCCCCCTTGCCGACCACCACCGCCTGGAATGACCTCTGCAGGCTCCCAGCCCCAAGCACCCGCTTGGCAACTTCCAGACTCTCCAGTCAGATAGGACACACCTCAGTGAATACGGTCTCGGGGCAGTGCAACCTGAGAGTGCTGAGAGGGGGAACGCTTTCCAGGGCAAGGTATGGAGGGCAGCAGCTCACTGCTCCCATGGGGAGCCCACCCTCAGGCATTTCCAGCAGGAGCCACCATAGCACCAGCACCTGGGTGGCCTGAGAAAGACATCTCAAAACCAGTTACCAGCCTCCAGCTCTCAGCTTGCTGACCCCCCACCCTCCCAGGCATTTATCTCCAACAGGGCAGTTGCAAGGCGCTCAGTTCCTCAGATCTGAAGTACGTGCTCAGCTTTAGCACATTGCTGGCAGTAAGGAATTGTTACTTTCCAACATCTGCAATCAGATATAATTTGAAGATCACTGGGTTTAAAACTAAATTCCAGGGCGAGGCAAAGCAAAGATCTATTAAACATGCCATTGGACATGAGAATCTTACAGGAGAAAAGGGGGGGGGGGGTCAGTTCTGAAGGATTTTTAAATATTCATTGCCATGTCAAAGGAAAGCTTTCACTGAGAAAAGGCACTACTTGAACATAATGCATATATCAAGCCTTATCTAATACTTTCTTATTTTCCATCATGTTCAGTCCATTTGCTAGTGATGATGCAGAAAGTCAGAAGTTCCTTACAAATGGATATCTGGGTAAAAAGAAATTGGAAGAATATAATGAAGAATATGTAAGTTTTATTCATTTTTAAGAGTAATTACAAAGTAAATCTTATTGACATGAATCTTTTTCAAAAAGTCTCAGTAAACAAAGTTACTCTGGAGCTTGATCAGCATAACCTTGGCTGTGGAAGAATAAACACATTTTCTAACAGTGCAGCAAACCCTTTCTGTTGTCTTGCAAGTAAAACTGCGTCTTTCCTTCAGAAATAATCAGAAAAATTTCTCAGATCACACTTAGACTTTAGTAGCACCTATGTCATCTTACTCAAGATGTTCAGCCAGGATAGGTCTGCACCCATTTTTCTGACAGGAGATTTAGTATGGGCAAAATTTGTTGTTCCTATGTCAAGGTAGAGCTGGGCTTTAGTGTACACGTGCTTTTATTGTTTGTTTCCAGAGTCAGTGTAAATTAATTCACATCCAGTTGCATTGCTTTAAGGAAAGGACATTCATGTTTAGCTTTACAATGCTGAACATTACACCCTCAGTACACCTCCAACTCTTTAGACAACTCCACGTGCAAGTGGAAGCACAACACCGGTTCCTGGGGGGGTGCGTGTGGGTACCTCTCTTTTCAGGATTTAACTTTATTCAAAATTTTCATGAACTTGGTGCAAAGAAAGGCATTATTTCATTGGTCATGTTACACATTTTATTAGGATTGATCAAATAGAACCAAAAACTATTATTTATGATTGAAAGTTAAAATTAAGAGCCATATTCCTCCCCTTTTTTTCCTACTTGGTGGCAGATGTAACTCCCTCATACACCATCCCCTCTCTCTTAGTTTTTTGTTCTTTTCCATTCTCCTGGGCCAAGTCCAAGCCAAACAAGGCTTCCTTCTTTTCTCCCCCAGACACGCTTTTAGTTCCTCAAAGAAAGAAGTACATCCTACTTGGAGAAAAATTCAATAACCAGTGGGATTAATTTTTTTAAATCATCTGAATTTTTTTATGTGCATAATTGGGAAATATGTTTAGATAACAGCATGTATTTCTATAGAGGCTGGCCAACACAGTCACTTGTGGCTATGTCACCTCAGTTGCCTGTCGGGGACGTAGCCCTCCTCCCTGCTGAGACATGGGGAGAGTGAGAAAAACCAAACACCTACCAGCACAGCTGGCTTCAGGGGTAAAAGAGACTCCATATGGTGGCAAGCACCTGTGAGTTCAGGAACCATGACAAAGCTCCACCTCTAAGGGTTAAGGGAGCAATATAGGAAAAAACAGCAAAGACAGTAATTAGTCTGTTGTTCACAGTAAAATGCAAACTGCCATTTTCTCTTCTTACTCCCAACAGCACCGAGGGAGAGCTTCCTTTGGGATGTCCTCATTCAACCTCAGCAATGCCATTATGGGCAGTGGCATCTTAGGGCTCTCCTATGCCATGGCCAACACAGGAATTATCCTTTTCATGTAAGTACATAGAAAGAAAAACAAATAGAATATAAGTAGTGAGCTAAAGTTTTTGTGGCTAGAGAGGTACGTTAAGCTTGTTTTTTTAGCTGAAAAGTTTTGTAAGATCATCTGTAATGACAACATTTTAGCTGCGCCGCAAGGAACCATCCACTGCTGACAAACTACTTTTTTTTATTTTAGCCCTATTTTGTATCAGGAACACAACTGTGAATTGATACTGTGCAGTCAAAAACCAGAGGGGAAGAACAGTATACTGATCCTAAAATAATAACAGCAGTCTTGTTGGTTCAGTATACAAATTCAACAAGGGAAATAAATCACCCATAAAGTATATATTTACATCATCCCAGCTATCTAATCACTATGTAGAAATGAAAGAAGAATATTCACTATAAGTCTGAAATAGCAACATGCTTTGAATGCAAAGGCATTCATAGATTTATTCAGATTTAATGTTGCTCCCTCAGGTCTATTTGTACTCAATGTGCACAGATGACAACAATGGTATGTGGCTGACATACAGTATCTATACAAAATGGGTTTTGATCGACAGTAACAGATAGCCATGTAAGTTTTTTAATCTATGGTTAACCTTGTAAAATGAGACAGACTGTACAAAAAAAAAATTGGTTTTCTTTTTTCAATAACTGCTTTTAATTTTAACTGAAGTCTTAATTTTAATCCCTCATGAGCCTGGAATAAAGCATGGCAGTACTGTATGACAATAGGCCATTATTTTTACATTACTGAAATCTAACAAGCCTTTAAATCAGGTTGCATGACTATCTTTATACAGCTTCTTTCTTCTGGAGAATGTGTAACTATGACAGCAACAGCATTTGAAATGCTACATGTAGCTTACAGTTGCTAAGAAGCACCTCCTATGTTGCCAGTAGAAATTTTAACTGAAAATTAATTGTAGATGTAAATGCTGTCCTGGATAAGTACTTTCCAGCACCTGCACTCAAATGGTGTAGATCTAGTATTTGCAGATACAAAAGTGGAACCCGGGTCTAAAAGTGACGGCATTAGGGTTTGAAAAATGTAGGATTTTTTTTTTTTTCCAGTTTTCCTTGAGTACTTGTACTAACTAGTACGGTCATAAATTATCATTGGAAAGAAAATTGATACATCAAGCCTCACTAGAGGAAAAAAAAATAACACCTTTGTTGTATCTTTATTTTTAAGGCTCTGTTTATTCACAGAGGTGGCTAAAAAAATCTAGTATGAGCCTAGTGACATTAGCTTTGTTAGTGGTACTAAAGCAGGGAGTAATGTTAAAGCAACCCTATGGAGTCTTAAAGAGCAAAGACAAAGAACGTCTCCACCCTTTTCTGTCCTGCTTCCATACTTTCTGCATGAGAACATCCTCCCTTCTGGTAGAGGAAGGGGTTTTATTTAAAAGTATAAAACTGTGTGGGGATATCGTTACCCCCATGGCATGCATCCACTTGATGGAGGTTCCTCTGTTTTCACAGATCATGATGTTAGTCTTAGCAGGACAGAAAAATCCCATCTACTAAATGGAACCTGCTGGACATTTATTCTAATTTAGATGATGATGGCAGCATTGTCTAAATTATTGTAATTTACTGTTCCCTTGTTGCCCAAGTGCTCTCATGCTGGAAGATGTTCCACAGGTTGAAGGCAAAAGGAGGGCTCCCAAAACTCAAAAGCTATCAAGAAGTGCCCATTACATTCTGGTCTCCCGTGGGGGAGGCTTGCAATGTCACAGAGCATGCGCCAGATCATCACTTCTGCTGCCTGGCATGATTTAACAAGTGCAACCAGGACGGCTTTGGTTTACCACACCTCATGTGCCAGGACATGGAGACCATGTCTCTGAATAGCAGCTGCATGGGTGCCCGTGATTAAGAAGGATGCCATCTTGGCAGGAAACACTGTGACCTCAGACATGATCCCACCTTCCCAAATTACATGAGCCCACGGCATAAGAGACAACCCTGCTCACATGAAGTCTGTAGCATTGTCTGTCTCTTGGAAAAAGAAACTTCAGAGAAAATTGTGATGGTCTGCTGGCCATCATCTGGCCCAGGGGCCTATGTCTCCTCTTAGACTGTAACTCATTTATGAACTTGGCTGTCAGTGTCTCCTGTAGGTATACCAAACCATGTCTTCAGTGGAGTGGAAGGTGTACGCACAATCTCCTGTTCAGCCATGGCATAAGGCACATCTGTATTTCCTAGCTCTATCATGTTATCATCACATCCCTTATGCACCAATACTTGAGCAGGTTGATGACAAGACAGTTACAATAATAAGATATGCTGCACACGGTGTTGTGCCCTGAAAATGTCATACAAAGCTACATTTTTCACTAGCAGTTCACAAGAGGCAGATAGCTGAAATCACATAGCATGCAAATGTTGTGTGGAAGGAACATGGCAGTAATCAGAATTAATGAATTCAGGCACCAGTATCTGCAAGCAGACTAGGCTAGAAGAGTACACTGAAAATGCTCCAATAGCAGGTTTTCCAGTGTCATGCTGTGCTTTAGCATTATGTAATTTTTCTAAAAGCAAAAACTAGCATCTCAAGCTAAACTCCACAACTTCACAGTGGCATGGCAGAAGTCAAAAGTGGTGACTAGCCAGGAGCTGGCAGTGAAGGTGTCACAATCATGGTCTGGGTTTCTTTTTTTATAGTTCTGAGTAAGGAGAAAGATTAAAACAAGAGACCAATAAGCAGATAAGAGACCAAAGACCTGAATCTTGCATAGAAGTGTGTTTACTTTAGTAGGATCTTGTTAAGATGTAAGGTTCAGTACTTGTGGAATAACACAGAATTGGCACTTATCTGGACTTCAACAAGCCTTGAGGGGCTCTTGGAGTGTATAAGGTGCAAATTCACTCACAAGTAAGCTACACCTGACACTTATCTCTGCATTTAGCACTGGGAGACCAAAGCACAAACTTGTTGAAAACTATCTACACATTGAACTTCATGAGACTGAGCAAACTTACGTTCATATCAACTGAGTGTCTCTGAGTGTCTCTGATGTCCTGCTTGGGATTCTGATTTCTGCTTTGCCTTTCAGAATTTTGTTGCTCAGCGTAGCAATACTGTCACTCTACTCGGTCCACCTCTTACTGAAGATATCAAAAGAAGGAGGTATGAGGATCAGGCTGTGACTGACTAAAAGTCCCTACTGCATGCATGTATTTTGCAGTTCATCAATTGTGTTCAATGCAGTGGCCCATGTTTCTTTTGTTTGGTTGGGTTTTTTTCAGGATCACTAATATATGAAAAACTGGGAGAAAAGGCATTTGGCTGGCCTGGGAAATGTGGTGTTTTCATTTCAGTTACAATGCAGAACATTGGAGGTAAGGGGCAGAAGTTTTTTAACTTCCAATGTGTTTCTACAGAACACAAGTGTTTTCTCTGTCTGGCTAAATGGCATCAGAAAGGAGTCAGGTACAGTATACACTATATTGTATCAAGGAAGGACAGGAGGAATTAATCTTGCTTTGTTTCAGCTAGCTGACACTTCAGTGTCTGGTGAAAGCTAGTTACCTAGGATCTCTTCTTGACCAGTGAAGAGCCTTCAATGATGTCTAAAATGGCTTGTCTGACTGTCCTCAAGGAGTTGTCCATTTCTCTTCATTGAGTACAGCTCAGACTAGACATCATCTGCTTCAATTTAGAAAGATTAAGCCGACCTAAAGAGAACAGCATACGGTTCTGACTTCTACACAAAAGAAAGGCTCTTCAGTAGTTCATTTTTCCAGATGTATTCTCTCCTTGAAATGACAGTTGGGTTGTGATCTCTCTAAGATGTTGAGTGTTTAAGAGTGATTGTTGTAAGTATTCATCCACAAAGATACTTCCTGTGAAATACTTACCAAGAAACCTCCATCCTCTCAAGAGATTGTTTACTTACCGATGCAAGTAGTAGGGGTTTGTTCATGCAACAAAGCTTATTTCCTTTTACTACCCTGAAAGAATCCTTTCAGGAGACTAGAGAACACCATATCTAAAAACTCAGGGGAGTTTGTAATTTTTTCCAGATTTCTTAAGGAGAGGTAGTTGAAATATAAATGACATGCATCATTGGTCAATAAAATGTATGTAGATTTTTTTGTGATTTTGGAAATTGGTATGTTTTGCAAATCTCCATCAACAGATCATTACTGTCCTTTTAGAGCAACTTTGCTACCCAGACAGAGGTGGTTCACATCTCTCTACTGCAAGAGGTCCTATTCTTTGGTCTTCCTTTCCTCCCTCAAGCATAGATATCAAATGTGGTTGAATTCAAGAAGGAAGTGTGCTTCCCTATTAGGGAGGAGTAACCGTTCCTCTAGTTCTCTTGTCTAGACTGATCTATAAGTCTCCAGCGAACTCTCTGTGGCCAACATAAAGTAACTGCAAAAAAAGCCTGCCTTCTGGCAGTACATTTAAATGAGATGTATAGACATCCACCCTTTCATCAGGAATCTTGACAACTAGGGTTTAGATTTTTTTAATATATGGAGTAAAGTATTGGAAGAAAGAAGCTGAAAATAGAAGGGATAAGGCAGATGAAGAGATTTAGAGGCAATAATAACTAAAGTTACTACAGAATGTGGATGGACAGTGTCCACTAGAAAAAACAACATTTACAACAGAAAAGCAAAAGGAAAATTTAAGAGTATAAATTTCATCAGAACAGTGATTTGAGCATGTGGTTTATTCAGTAATAACTTTATTGTATTCTAATACTGAATGCTAGATGTTGTTCAGGACATGTTCATAACATTATCAAGGGAACATGCCATCTATTTCATCGTACTGTCATGTGAACAAAACTGATTCTCTATTTTAGCAAAAACTAGTTTCCCAAAACAATATGTTTTTCATGCAGCAATCTTTTTTTTTTTTTTTAAATATTTTTGTTGGAACTACGTTGATTTCTCTGAAGGTGTTTGTTTGCTTTTTTCAGCAATGTCAAGCTACCTCTTTATTATTAAATATGAACTTCCTGAAGTGATCAGAGCATTTATGAAACTTGAGGAGAGTTCTGGGTAGGTACTTTTGCCTAACTTGAACCTCAGATGAAAATTTTTCACTTTGATGTCAGTGATAATGATTTCTATTTTTTATTCCTCCCCTTTAGAGAATGGTACCTAAATGGGAACTACCTCGTCATACTCGTAACAGTTGGGATTATTCTTCCCCTCTCCCTTCTAAAGAGTTTAGGTAAGCTTAATGCCCCACTTAACCTTATTTCTTATTTCTATTAGGATTGTGAATTTATATGTAGCTGAACAGTTGTTTGTTTTGTTTTTTTTTCTTGCTTCACAGGTTATCTTGGTTATACAAGTGGTTTTTCGCTGACCTGTATGGTTTTCTTTGTCAGTGTGGTAGGTGACTGGGAATTGTCTCTAAGCGAATACATAGCCTGTAAACTGTGCAACCCTGTTACATTTCTTACCATGACAATTTAATGTGGATGTTAGAATAGCACCTGAAAGTGAATCAAATCAACAAGCCTATTGCTGAATGAAGCCAGAATAAAAAAGATCAACCTAAAAAACAACACTTGATAATAAAAACTAAAGCAAGGCAACAGCAGACACAGAGCAACAGTAAATACTTGCAGGAAAAGCAGAAGTGGTAGCACTTGGTTTCTTGCTCCCTCTCTTTCCCCTCTCTCTTCTGTGTGCCTGTGTATATTTCTGTCGGCATACCCCAGATGTAAGTATAATCTCCTATAGTGATACTCTTCTGATGACATTTTCTACTCTTTTATAGGTAATCTTCAAGAAATCCCAAATACCCTGTCCTCTCCCCATCATGGACCATGGGGCTGAAAACTGGACTGCTATCAACAACACAGTGCCTATGCACTTGGTCATGTTACCAAATGAGTCTTTCAGTTATGATGTGAATTTCATGATGGACAACACAGCTGGGCACTTTCCAGGCCTCGAGGAGCCAAAAGATACCTCCTCCAAAAGTGGTGTAGAATATGAAGCACACAGTGACAGTAGTGACATGTGTCAGCCAAAATACTTTGTGTTCAACTCACGGGTAAGGGAGATTCTGTAGAATTTGTCTTTAGCCATTAGTACCACAGCTAAACTGCTGCCTGCCAAAAGTCAGAGATACAACAGTGACCATTGTTACTAATGGGAGCTTTATTTTACAGACTGCCTATGCAATACCCATCCTGGCATTTGCATTCGTATGCCACCCTGAGGTGCTACCAATATACAGTGAACTGAAAGAGTAAGGTTCTTAAATTTTGTCCCATACTTCCAGTTAACCACAGCTAGAGATCACTTTCTACATGTTCTGCCTTGATTGCTGGTGTGTAGACACTCATCTGCTAATGATTTATTGCTTTCCATAGTAAGAAGATACTGGCTTTGCTTTGACCTAATAGTCAGATATTGGTGATAGAGAACCACTGTACAGATAGTTGCATTCATCTATATTTACTTAGGAAAGGAGGAATCTGGACAGTCCTTCGAATGATGTGAAGTATACTGGGGAACTTCATTGCACTGACACAGATAATTCTGGTTTCTAATAATATCTTAATGAGTTCTGTGTCTGGGTCAGCTGCTGCTTACTCTTAAGCTTTCTTTGGATGGCATTGGTTTGGGTGTCTTACATAGATTCTTCGCCCAGCCTATTTTGCTTATCAAATATCAAAAATCAAATACACTTGCTTAAATCAGCACAGAGTTGACAGTTGGGAAGGGCTAAGAAAATGCATTTCTTCATCAGCAAGAATTACATTACAGGAGGTTGTGCTGCAAAACTCAAAGAGGCCAAGACCCATTACCTCCTATTTCAGCAGGTTTAACCTCAGAAGAAATAAAAATTCTCAGATGACTTGAGAACAGATTTCCAGATCCTATAAGCTGAAGATTTTCTTACACCAAATATTTAACCAAAGGATTTCTAAAGAAAGGATTTGACCTGCAGGAGGTTCTTAAACCTGCAGAACAGCCCTAGGTAGATATAAGGGTATGTTCATATAGAGCTGACTGACAGCTCCTGTCTATTATTATTACCAGACCTGTAATTTTAGCCACTACATTTTTTATTTAAAATACGCCATTTGAGATTGATAGCATATAAATAATGATACACAAATAACATGGTACATTTATATGTATTCACTAAGTAAGCGGTAGAAATGGAGTTTCAACACACTTTTATAAGTCTGTGCTGTTCTGCACAGAGATGTGAAGCTTCAAGTAAAGAGCTCTGTATAACAAATATAGTGGCTATGAATTTACTAACCAGTGAGGGGATATCAGTAGAGATATAACTTTTCAGAGTACTTCTTGTACAAATAGCACTGTTACTCTCTTTTTCTCCTACTTCAGTCGTTCCCGAAAGCGGATGCAGAATGTCTCAAATATCTCCATCACTGGCATGCTTGTCATGTATCTTCTGGCTGCCCTCTTTGGATACCTTACCTTCTACGGTATGTCAAAGCCCTGTTCTCTGCAGAATTTTCCCTCATTTTAAAGCAGGTGAGATGGTTCTATCACACTGAGGCTCAAGTGTTCATGTATTTTCTGTGGGCCTGAAACCAGGTGTGTTATTCAAACATAATATGTGGTGTGTAACCTCCTGAATAAGCAGTGAGACTTATCCAGCTGTCAGTCCACAAGCTCTTCACCCATGAGAGACTCAGAGGCACCTACTAGGAGAATCAGTTGTGTATCTCTTTGTTTTGTGAACTCAGACAAGAAGCTGCTGTAAACTTGGCTCTTGGCAAAGGGCAAGAGTGACCATGCTAAAAATACTCAAGTGCTCAACAATTTTACATGACACTATTAAGCGCTACCCACCCTGGCTCTGACACCACTAATTCAGCTTCACCTATGCTGAAAAACAGGTGCAAATCATTCTAGTGTGAAAAAAAATATGGATGAGCTAGACTAACCGGTAGACAAACAAAGTAGCCCCTGTATTAGCACACAGTTTTATGCAAACACCACCTCTTTTTACCTCGTTAGTTCCTCCGTTACAGCAGAGAAGTGAATGACACAGCACAATCTGCTCTCTATCAGCGGGGCACCCAGGCTCTGTCTGAGAGCTGGGACTCCTGGGTGGAGGTCGGAGGGAGCTGTTCCCAGTTCAGTGAGTTGTTTCCTATTTCATATCAGAGCAATTATTTTTACCTCATGTTCCACATCCACTTAATGACTCTGAGAAAGTCATTTGAGATACTGGAGTGCAAAGCATCACCTCAGAGCTGTACTACCCTCATCATCTCTGAATGATGGACTTGTATCAGTCATGCTGGGAAAATTCCTTTCATGCCTAGCCCATAACATGTATCTGATGACAGCAGCTGAGCCAAAGCTAATCTTATCTAGTTGCAGTATAAAGATCCATTTGCATGTGTAGATATTGCTTAAGGGATTTAATTCCTTTCTGTTTCCTTTTTGTAGGAGAAGTTGAAGATGAACTACTTCATACATACACTAAAGTGTACACCTTCGACACACTCTTGCTGTCAGTTCGCCTGGCAGTGCTGGTGGCTGTAACCCTGACCGTGCCCCTTGTCCTTTTTCCTGTAAGTAACACAGCTGCTGAAGCTGAGATCAGGGCTAGCCCACATACACTGACTGTATGTACTCAGCACAGACAGACTTTAACATTGAAGAAAAATAAGCCTGATTTTTTATTTAGAATTTTATTTAGTCTGTCTACTCCTATGCAGTTCGACCAGAGGAAGGGCCTTAGGTAGTTAGGGTTGCAAAATTTGTAAGACTGGAGTAAATCAGTCTTTATAAATAAATCAGTAATAAATCAGGAACAACTGCCCTGTCTCTCTCTTTCTCTGTACTATATTTATCAGAGCAGCAGTGTAAGTACCATAGACTTGGGGGTATACTGAAACCACTTATGAGATTTCCTAATACAGATGTAGGCACCTGCTACGGCATCCAAACTCAGACAGATATGTGCAGCTCAGGTCACGCTCTGTACAGGACTGTCAGACCTGGATGCCGAGGTAGAAGGGCAGAGGCTCCGTGCACATCTTGCATGCTTGAGTCTGCAGACAAGGGAGGAAACTAAATACCAGAAAACAGAGGCAGTCAAAACTCAGCCACATAATCAGATGTCTGAGCAAAGTTTGGAGCTCCTAGGTGCCATTCACAGGATAAAATGCAACATCCAAGTTGCAGGAAGAGAAAGACCCAGCTAAACAAACCGCTCTGCAGAGGGACTGACCCTCCTCATGGATCAATCCCCAGTGAAAGAACAGAACTCCAGGCTCCTGAATGTAGAGGACTGTCCCTTGTGCCTTCCCTGGGCTGTTACGCAGCAGGGGAGAAAATAGTTGATCCTGGTCTTTAAGTTTTGGGAAGCTGCTGTGCAATTTGTATGGCATGTACAAGCCCAGCATCATGCTGCCGTTGGGCTCTCAGCAATCCACATCCCACCATAGTGTTCCCATCTGATGAGAGCAGTAATCCTGGGGTCCTGTTGATCTGTTGTCCTGGATGCAAACACAGGCACTGTGTAGGCACTGTTTCCAGGCTTGCTGACAAATACCTAAGAGCACTGATCACCATTCAATGCTGTCTACAAAAAAAAAAAAAAAAAAAAAAATGGTTCCAGTATAAGGCACACAGAGTGATCAGTACATGTAGCTTAGAGAGCTCTGGTTCTCTGCCTTAAATATCATGTTTAATCCAGTGACTACATGCTTAAATTAGTCTTAAATATTTGAACCCTCTTCATGGGAAAAAAAGCTAAGGGCATTGCAGAAGCATCTCTATATATCAGATGTAGCATTCTACATCTTTAGCTTTCTGTATAATCATTTTATATCTGAATAGTGTCCAAAGGTTTAGTAGTTACATACCACAGCACTAATTGCTCTATTAAAAGAACTCCCGCAAAAATATCATTTGCTTGTAAGCCAGCATATGAAGAAATTTTATACAGCCTATCAGGACAGCCAGCTCAGCAGATCTAATTACTCCAAATAAGCAGCATAGTTGTATCAACTACTTTTTTATGAACTACCACATTTGTATTTCTTAAATTAGTCAGAATTTATTCTTTTTCTTTTAAAAAAGGAAATTACTACATTGTTAAAAAAAAATATTAAATATCTATTTATATACCATTAGTGACTATAAAACTTTAGTTTGATAGCTTCATCTTAAGGACTATGTCACAGCAGGAATAATGTACAAGATGCTGACAATAAGTTAACAGGAATGCACGCAGCAGTTCTTTGGTGGAATAAAGCTATTTTACACCAACTCAGGGGCTGAACAAATTTTTTGCAGTCACACTCACTCTTCCTAATATTGACTCACATCAACCTGGAAAACATAAAATGCAAAATTAATGCTGTGTCTTCAAATGATGGGATCCAAGTCTGACAGAACACCTTACATTTATTGAATTGTCAAATTCAACCAGAAGCAGTTGTCTGTTACATTAAAACAACCAAACAGAAGTGAGGTTTGAGCCTTTTTCAGTGTAAAAACATTTTTGTTCAACTTCTACATTTCAAATCTTTTAAGTTAATCATGGTACTTCATTGTAACACTATCTCCAGCCACCAAAGGGATTTGCTCTTGACCTTTTTCCTACTAACCATCTTTGCTCATGAAAAAGCAAAAAAACCTCTTTCTGTATTGTGTGAGAAAGTCAGCAGAGCAAAAATGATCCTCTGCAATAGCTTTTAGGATTACAATTTCCAAGTGGTATTGAAAAATATACTTTTATTTTGAGAGAGATATATATGTATATGTTCATGTGCATATTTAATGAAAGTAAAACAACGGCTTGCTCTTTCTCTCACAAAAGTAAATGACAGAAATCCTGGGGGATTTTCAGAGGGATTAGGTTCAGGAATACACCAACTCATATTTCACCCATGAATTTTTTGCCTGCTGATTAGTATTCATAGCGGGGGTTTCTTTGTTGGTTTTTTTTTTTTTTTTTTTTGCTGATATGAGCATCTTTCAGTTGAATAGATTTCATGTCCCTGATTTTACACCCTATTTACCTGACTTTCTTCTACACTGCAAATATTTGAGTTTCTGCATTAAACTGTGCATCCAGTTCTTAAAAACCTATATCACAGTGAGATTACATTAAGGGAATCAAAGACAGAAAACACATTTCTTCAGTCAGAATTTCTCACAAAAAAAGTAACAAGCATAGTTCATTTTAAAAAGTGAAAAGCAAAGATAAATTAATTGCTGTTTTACTTTCCCTGCTGGTTTTCATCTAACAGATCCGTTCATCTATCAGTGCACTGCTGTTTCCCAAAAGGCCATTCAGCTGGATAAGACATTTCCTGATTGCAGCAGTAATTCTTGCTTTTAATGACCTGCTTGTAATTTTTGTCCCAACTATTAAAGATATCTTCGGATTTATTGGTAGGTTTCATAAATACTTTTTGTTTACTTTGTTAATCCTTTCCACAATGTCTTTACATTCATGGGCTGAATTACAGTCTCAGTTTGGGTCTTGCAGTAGAGTAATATAAACACGGATTAAAGTTAAAAGAGAAATAAAAATTCCCAAACAGCTGACAAAAAGTTAAATGCTACCCAACTTTGTAGCTACCTTGTATGAGGCACAAGGAATCAATAATTCCAGTATAAAAACTGGTAAGGAATTTCCACCTTGACAAAAAGGGCATTTAGTGCATGTGGAGTAGAGGGAAATCAACTTTGGTTTTCAAGTGTCTGTAGCCTGGAAAAAATGTATTGACTTCCAAATTGTGATGTTAGAAAAAGGAGAAATGTGTCACATTTCTTTTGGCATTCACAGTTCTCTCCCTACCTCTTTTTTTTGGTCAGTTTTGACTTCTGACCAACAAGGCCCATGAAAAGCCTCCATGCTCTGAGCTGTTTGAGGACTCGGGGATGCAGATGCCTTTGAGAAAGACACCTCCATGGGGTTTTTGCTTTTTTCATATATTTTGTAATTAATACAGGCAGCTGGTTTTCCCCTCTCTGCCTTTTACACCTGGGCTCTGCTGAAAGGAGAAGAGTGGGCACTTCCAGGGTACAGGTCATCCACTGTCTTTTCTACACCTGCTTTCCAGGGTCATCACACCCTGGGCGTCCCTGTTTGTCCTTGCTTCACCAGCTCACATGCAGATGTCTGTGTCACAGGCAGCCACACTGGTCTGAACAAGCCCTCTCAGTAACGAGTGCCTCTTTGGGCCCCAAGCACTCAAATAAGTGTTCGGACATCTACAGCTCTGCACAACTGCTGTCTTGGAAGAGGAACTACCGCCTCACACGTTCTCTTTTGCAGGCGCACCGCATTGCTTGTGTCAGATGGCACAGTAGACAGTTCTACATTCTCTTCCAGGTGCCTCTTCTGCCACAATGCTGATTTTCATCCTACCTGCTGCCTTCTACCTGCGGCTTGTTGAGAAGGAGCCCCTGAGGTCTCCCCAGAAGATTGGGGTAAGGGAGCTGGCAGCAATTTCAAAAGGAAGGATGGGAGGGTGTGTGCTTTCTGCTGGTCACAACTACTCAGACCTTTGACTTGCAACATCTGGCAGTTGTTTGTAAATGGTAGTGTCTCACTCAAAATTCAGGCGGGGCAATGGGATTCACCTTAGCGTGGAGAGCCAGGCTTCACAAGCCAAAGCCTTTAGTGCCTTGGTACTGATACACAACAGTAAGTGTCTAGGTCAAAGTGTGTCTTAAATCACTAGACTAAGGCATCTATTTAATCCAGTCTAAGATCTAGTTAACACCTGCACTTTCATAAATAACACCAAGACAGCGTATAAGAAACTGTTGATTCATGCTAGAAGGTCATCTGTGGATTAACAAGAAGATCTGAAGTCGAGGTTAAGAAGGAAGTTGTACTGCAGAGATAATTAAGTTAGTGAGTTGCCCACTAAGATAGGTCCATACACCTACAGGACACATGTATGAAGGTGTATCATTTATACACAGCATGTGTTTATATGTCATGCTGGACCGGTTCAGCTGTACCTTTCATCCCAAACATCAATAGCTATCTGAACATTTAACAGTATCACCAAGGAGATGTCCTTTGAAAATTTAATCAGAAAAGTTATTGATGAAATATATATGCAGGTACATAATGTAAATATATGTACATATATACATCTATATACAAGTTCACAAAAAAATGGAAGCTCAACCAATACATACTGCAAGTATAAAAGAAAAGGTTTGTTATCATAAAATTACTTCTGCAGATGCCTTTTTGAGCTGTTATTATAGAGAGATTGTGAATATTTGTTCATGTCTCTCTGTTCATTCTTCATGTTGCTGTGTGTTAGGCACATCTAGAATTTCACACCCTACACTGAGATCACATACAATATTCATCTTTGTGTTGTGAGGCAGAATATTGTTAAGTGTGGACAGATCACAGTAAATTAAAGCCCCACTAAGCAAAGGGCGACTATAAGCATCTGAATCACTTCAATATATACAGAAATGCCGTCAGAGAAGAGAGATGGGCTTACTTGTCTGTCTAATAGGGATGAAAAGGATTATCTCTGAAGCTGTTCTTGATATCAGTGACAATGGTCATTCATTGAAAATTGGTCAGTTTTTAAAGAAAAAACCTGTTCCTCTGTTACTTTTTATATTATTGTTCATAGTAACAAAGTGGTGTTTTTTCACATCTAGTCTTGTAAAGCCTGGTTCTTTTGGACTGAAATTCATACAGGACTAACGTTGATTAATGTAGCCCTGTATGACATTACTTGGGCTTTAGTCACAGAGAATGACCCAAACTCAGGCCCTGGGTGTTACATAAATGTAATTCCAGTCTGCTCAGTCACTTGCATTATTAATAAAATTTCATTTTCCAATTGCAGGCTCTAATTTTTCTCATAGTTGGCATAATCTTCATGATTGTGAGTATGACTCTTATTGTAATGGACTGGATTTACAATCCCCCAAGTTCCAGACATCACTAACCTGTGGAGACAAGCAAGTGCTTTTTATACCATAAATATTTGTATTGTGTGCTCCGAAGGACACTTAAATGGGACTGTTATTCCTACCTAGTAACTGCAGTATTTTGAAGACAGTTTCTGGTAAGGTCACTAGAACCCAATGGAGTCTACATCATCCTTTTCACTAAGGATCGCTATTTATGCATTAGGAACCTGAGCTTAGCATTTCTGGCCAGGTGAAATGAAATGTGTGATGTGGATGCTTTCTATTTTCAAAACTAAAATAACTGTGTACATAGTCCTCAAAAATAGCTTGGTGTCACCCTTCTCAACCTCTCCCATCATGCTAATAACCACAGTTCCTAGAGCCCTGGAAAGGTAATGGCCTGAACATCAGCTAGTGCCTTGTTTTCTGTCTGAAGCTCCTGGGAGCGGCTGCCCAGCTCCAAGAGAAAGGGTACAGTTTCTGTAGGGGATCTGAAAGGTGACTGCTCCCTACCAACATGTCTATCAGAAAGATGATGGCTTTGACAAGCTAGTGGACAAAACTGAGCATGAGATTTGTTCCCCAAATTCATCTCCCTTGGCAGGTGATGGCTGTTGTACAAAATAAAGCTCTCTAGCACAGATCACAGGCATGTGCTTGAAGAACAGTTGAGTATTCACATTTCGTTGTTAAAGATGCCTGTGCTGGAAACGTCAGGCATTTCTGCGGTGGGTTTTTTTTGGTTTTCTTTACTTTTTTAATTCTTGTGTGAGCTTGCATCACTGAACAAGTTGTATCCTCCATAGAAACTTGTCTTCCATTCTCACGGGAATTTAAGGAGACCACAAGGTGTGCCAAAGCACCCTATCCAGTATTGTTCTGTACTTGTATATTTGATAAATGTTCAGTGCAGGAAACTGTAATTTGCTATATATAAAAATATATGTATTTATGTATCATAATTTTTTGTTTTCCTCCAGTTATAAAAATGTTACCCTGTGGTAAATGATTTTTGAAATTTTTTTATGTGTCACTCTGGTTTCATAGCCACACACTTAATACTGTTTTGAAGAAAACATATTGGATTGGTGGGTTTGTAAAAGGTTCATTTTTATTCAGCAGTGTTTGAAATATACCTGTAGCAAGCCCTAACGGTTACCTGTGTAAAAACACATTCAGATGTTTACTACTTATGTTACAATAAATTGCAAGATGTTTTCCTCTTGAGAATTTTTAATACATGCCTCAAAGATCTGTATTACCACTGTATACCATAAACTTAGGTAACTTGCTCAGTTGCTGTACCTTAGCTTGTCTATGCATATGCTTGCATTCAACAACATATATAATTAAGGTATGCAAAGGAAAAGACATTACTGACAATCTCAAGTGTATCGTTATGCAGCTGTGCAAGACAGGAAAAAAAAAAAAAACAAACTTAAGTTCCATGTTATATGGATGCTTAATTAACACTCACTACCCTCCAGACTGTGATTTTGGCTGTGTTTTGGAGTACCCACTACATATGCTCTCTGTACACACCAGGGAAAAATAGTCAGAGAAGTCTCGTTAACTCCATAACAGAGGGAATGAGTGGGAAGGTGCAACTGTTGGTTTTAACACACTTACACAAATCCAGGCTCATGTAATTGGAGTTTTCATTTTCCAACTTAGCAATCTGTGAGTACACACTTGTGAGCTCAGAAAGCCATAAAACACAGAAAAATTGTCTCTGCTCACTCCTCAGCTTTGCATTAAATTCTCTGTCTGTGTGTATGTATACAAGTGTATGAATATTTACAGGTAAACAAGAAAAGCCTATCAAATATATATTTCATGTCAACCGCTATCTTTCTGATCAGTATTTTATGCTCACTTGAGTACTGTATCCTCAATAGACTGGGTCATGCTTCCTCATCAATGCTAAGTCTGGCTTTGCATTTTTTAAAGGAAAAGGTGCCAATAATCTTTTGCTCTATTTTAAGCAGACTAATTCAAATAAGGCTGCATTATTACTGGAGACACCTTTAACACGGACTAGAGTTAATAGTAACACACCCACACACCTCTCTGTGACAATTACTGAGAGCTACATGTATGGAAAAACTGAACTATAACTGCATCTTTGCTTCAGAGCAAAAGCACATATAGCGACTGCAGCTGCATGTACAGATTTAGGAATTCATGTAGCCCACCGAAAATACAGACAACCTCAAGAAAAGTAAAAGAAAAGCTATGGAACAATGGCATAACTCACTTCCTTTTCACAGCACAAAACTGTCAGTGTTCAAAATAGAGGAAGAGAGCCTGTAACGTCCATTTTTCAAGTCAAAATACGTTGGTCACAGCGATACGCATCTGCTGTGCATACTGGGAGTAAGGGTAGTATTGCACACTAACTTATTAGCACTGCTGGGAGTGGTGGATGTTGGAGTTTCTTGTTCATTTTGTAATGTTGACAGTAGGCCTTGTGAGGAGTTTTATTACAAAACCATCCATGGATGTATAATAAATACATTTTTCAAAGACTGTAGATCTTTTTTTTCTTCTGTTTTAGGCTAGCAGGGAAAGGAATTTTTTATAAAATCAAGCAGAGTCAAGCTGTTGGCCTTAACACAAGCATCACTAAAACTGCGTTCCCTTTTAAGAGAGAAAGTTGTGTATCCATGTATCTGCAGATGAACAAGATGGCAGCCCCTTCATATAATAAACCTTTTGCATACCCTGTTTTGTATCTATTCATGGAGCTGCATAGACATCACTGGGTAGAGAATGGCTGGTGTTAAAAGTGAGGTTATCTCCAAGATACTGAATGCCTCGTTCTTTGGAGCGTGGGATTAACCGGGATACACAGTATAGCAGCTAAGTATAGTCACTATTAGGAGCGCACACCAGATGGTACCACTCTGTATAAATATTTCCTATCATTGCAGCTGTAGGTTTTCCTGCTGTTACATATTTGTCTGGTGTATAATCGCAGCCCAAAATATACTGGTCTACACGCCACTCCAGAACTGATGAGCTCATGTGAGAACCACGCTGGCAGACCCAGCCAGCCGGCATTTGCAACTGACCACTAATGAGGGAGGCACTGCAGACCCAGACGCTTCCTTAACACCTGCAACGCAGACATCCTCCCCAATTTCCTCCTTCCCTTGTGGTTAGGTATCCTTAATTCCCTGCATCATCTCCTTTGCTCTGCCTTGGTGGTTCTTGAGTTATAAATTTCTTGTGGCGAGAGGTCATTTTAATTAAACAAAATTGTGGAAAGTGAATGAGGGAAGTTAAAGAAAAGGAAAAGGTACATCTTCAAGGATGAAAAAGAAAGCAATGAAAATGTATTAGAAACGTTAGCAGTCGTAGAAGTGTGTCATTAAATGGACATGACAAGAATGCCAGAAGTGATATAAAAAAAAAAAAAAAAAAAAAAAAGAGAAGTAATGAATAAATATTTCAGCTCTGGATTTGGAAAGAGGCAGAAACAGGGACACTCATTAGAAGGCAAAGTCCTCTCTAGTCCATAAATAATCAAAGATGATGTTAAACAACATCTATCTGAAAGAAGGGCAGCAGGCCTTGATAAGTCACAAAGTAGCTAGCTCTGGTGTTAATTTTCAGTAAACAGTGGAGTGCCTGGCTAGTTCTCAATGGCTGACATCATAGTAATTACAGATAGCAATTACTCACTAAGACGTCTAGTTGGTACTATAGGTGGAAAATTTTCTTCATTTTACTTCAAATTTCAATGGAAGTTTTACTGAAAATGTGCTATTGCAACAAAGTTCTGGTAGAGCCCAGGCAGACCCAAGAGGAAACCTGTCTGGTTTGCCATTAACCTGCTTGACAAAGTGCTGGGGGCTCCCCGGGGTTACAGCCTCTGGCCTCCACCTCCCCTGGAAGCTGGATGACCCAGGAGGAGGGTCTTCTCTAGGGCCAGCCCACTGGCACCCACCCCAGGTGCTTTGGCTGGGGGTCCAGGGTGAGCTCAGGGCTGCAGAGTTTCCTCCTGTGCAGCCTGACCTCAGTGCTGAGGTGGCAATCCTGTCAATATTTCCATGGTATATTGTGCTGTCCAGTAGAATCCTGAAAAAAAGACCAAAAAAAAAAAAAACACCTGAAGAATGTTTTTGGTTAATTAAAACATCACTTACTGCAAACACTTAAAAGCTTGTGCCAAACCTGGGTGATAAAGACCGTTTTCTTAAGTGCATGGGAGATATGAATCTGGAAAGGATCTCAAGTAACCTCCTATTCCACACCTGGGCTAGATAACAGTCTTAGGTTAGTGTTTGCAGGCAGCAGCACTGGCTCCAGCTGCTCGCTTCAGACATTTAGTAAAGTCCAGGGGAAAAAAAGTAAAAATTGCTCTGCTAATTGTTCTCACAATCACTGAAGCCTGCAAAGAGTTACTGTTTCCAGTTATGCAGGAGAAAACACTGATACCTCAGCACCCTCTGGACCCTGAGTTGCTGGGGGGCGTTCACAGTGCTGCAGAGCTGCTGCCTTCATCAGCAAAGTGTAACACTGAAAGGAGTTATGTCATGTGGAGCCTAAGTCCCCCTGCCCACCTGGTCAGCCGAGTTCTAAACCCAATGCACCACATAATGATAAATAGCTTTGGAAATCAAGACACTGTCTTAATTTTGCTACATAAAATGAGATGCAGACCTTGTTCTGTTACTAACAATGAAACAGAAGGTGTTTATCACCCAGCAGAAGCCAAACTAAACATGAAAGGACACTCACTTGGCCACAGCTCTCCAGGACACTTTGAAGTGGATGTTTCAAGTTCCACACGCTTAAATGGAAAGTGTTCACAGCATTCATTCACCTTTACATACAGTATGCACCTCTCCTGGAACATTTATCTTACAGCCTGGAAAAGTTAGCCTGTCCTCAGTAACAGATTGTCTACACATAAATTATTACCTAGCTTTTTATGCTCAAAGGATCGTCTGTACCTCTTCTCATGGGGAAGCTCACTGATGGCCGGAAGCAATGTCTACATGCCATCAGCGTCAGCCTCCTTTTCCCTCCCTGACTGAGGTGAAACTTCTGCCTTTTCACCACAAAGCATCTGACACTTCCCACCCTTTCTTTCCGAGATGGCTGAGTTCAGATTTTACACAAACAGTTCAAGCAATTGATCCAGATCCCAGATTGCCATGGTCAAACTAACCCAACAAACAGCTTCATGTGCTTCACGTAAATACAAGCTCACACTAGGATCGACATTTCTCCTTTGAATCCCCACCTTTTTCATTTTCTATTAACCATATTCCCCTCAATCACTGAATAATATGAACTGACCAATGTAAGGGTACAAGCAATAAAATGTGAACCACAGGAGAAGAGGGCTTGCAGGGCATGCTGAGCATTGCCTTCTGGCACCATTGTACCAGACACATTTTATCTTCTTTAATTGGCAACCAGGGAGACAGGCAACTTTTTTGCCCTGTTGGACACAAAAAAAAACCCTGAGTTGTACAAGCAAGCATTTGAAGACAGTAACAGGCCACCCTGAATGTCCATGCCTACCCACCTGTCTCAGAAGGCTGTGCCACACACTCCAGCCTCAGAGGCAGCTCAAAAGAACAGCTTTCTCTGGGAGCTTCAACTACAAATTGCTTGTTGTAGTCCAGATTCCCCTCCCAAAACTAAAAATAGCTTTTCTGCAAACTTGTTTGGGGAGAAAAACAGCAAAGAACAGTGAAATGAAAAAAAACTTCTGAGTTTTTAAACATTATTACTGAGTGACTGGGGAGGAGATGGGAGACAATCACTTTGAGCCTCTGCAATACAACGTTCAGCATATGTGAAGAAGACCTGTGGTGTTTGTGCTCCCAGTTTCCATGTGCTGAGATTTCATCTGAACACTAGAAACTACTCCATCATTTTCTTTGATTCTTATATTCTGTCTATCTTCATCCTTTGATATTTGCTAGGGTCCACACTGGAGGTCTATGCTGATTACTACAGCTATCTAAACATTGTATTTTAAAAATCATCAGGGATTAAAAAATCACTAGTTATATCTGTCCCCCTAAGGAACAAGGAAGAAAAATTTTTATTTGCTCTGGTAAATTTACCAGTACATTCATGTTGGTATATAGCCATGCTGGTGAACAGAAGACAAGGGACAAACGTTCACCAGAATGACAGGTTCCACCAGCTGATCCTCACTTCAGATGGAAGATATGAAAACCTTTCTCTTTCAGTTGGAGTGTAGAAGGTGAGGAACTAGGAAAATACTAACTTTTCTTCAACATCTGCTTAAATATCACTCGTGTGCTGTGCTCTCCTCATTCCTGAACACAAAAGTATTTTGCTTATGACAGTTCTCATGGAAGGAGATGACCTGGAGAGTGCCGATGTGCAAATGAATTCACCAGAAAGATTGCTGCCACTTTGGGGAGACATGGAATCTGTGATGGATAATACACTAACATATATCACTATAGCAACACTCACACTAAT